TAGATTAGGTTTTCTAGTTTATACTTTATAGCACGAGTCCACATGGCATACAGTAAGGACCAATAAACAAGAACGTTTTAAGATATGTCAAATACAAATAACATACTTTGGAACAGTTGCAGAATAGCAGGACTATAAATATATTATTATTATTGTCAGTTTAACCAATATTGGCATATCCTAGGTAGTATGGTGCTACCAAAAAATTGGTCACTTTTGGGATGGGTATGTGACAGTTCTTTCTTCTGATGCAAGGTATTTATATACATGGATCATAAAGAGGTGTTCAGATAGAATTTAGATTTTCTAAGATAGGGATCTCCCTTTTACTTAATAGCATTGTCAAACAAAGGAATATGGATCAGCTTGGGGTACCTGGATCATACAGAAAGTGACCTGCAACAAGTCCTAGCACAACTTTGGTAAGCAGATGCAGCATTTTGTAATGTGAGAATCCACAAACACAAAGGTCAGTGGCAAAAGCTGTCCGAAGGATCCCAGGAAACGGTAAGCAACATAATAAAAAAGAATCTCCATCTGGAAAAGCAATACAAATCATGTAAAGAAGTTGCTTCCACAACATGTTCGTACAACTGTCACATACCTCAAGAAGTTGCAAGATGAAATGGGTATTCATGCCTTTCGATATGATGGATATCTGTATTAGATCGGACTGTTGAAACAGGCAATAAGAAGCTATTGTCTTTGTACACCAGAGGGATTATGAAAGCAAGCAGGGAGGGGTTGTGTGCTTTGGCATGGCAACCTAATGGTGAAGCCTTTTCCAATAGAAACTGTACAGTGGGGCTATTTTCAAGTTACACAGTTATCAGATAGGTCATGGGAACTTGAACTGTAACACTGCAATGAGACTCAAAAAGTATCATTTGTCTCAAATTACTATCGCATCTTCCTTACAGTTATTTTGTACAATTCTTTTTATTTTCATATTTTATTGCATTATGGCTACATTTGTTTGTTTGTTCATCCTAACACTTGAAAATTTATGTATGTCTTTGTATAATTTTTTTTAACAGGTATCAGGAACAACTGAAAAAGACTATACATTCAAGGAAAGATCCCCACATCACCCACGAGGAGTTGGTACAAATTACGAAATGGAAATTGATTGTAAGTGGTCTGTTGTTTAGGGAAGAAAGTTGAAGAAGATGTAATCACTCAAAATCCAAGTAACTTAAACCACAAAACTTACGGTCCTACCTTCTTTGAAACATTCAATATTTTATTGCCTTCAATAACACGTTAAAATTTGATAACCTGCAGAAAAGCTTTAATTTGGTAATTATCTTGGAACTAAAATGATGAAATCTACAGCTATGCTCTTCAAACTTTCTCCTTTAAAATATTAACCCATTAACTGCGGATGACGGATATTTCAGTCATTGAAGTTCTATATATATAAAATTATAACTCAATGCGAATGATGAAAATTACAGTTTTATTGTGAATTATGGCAACTCAGTTTTATCTGTGAGTCAGGAAATGGCAACTGAGCTGCTCCTGCCGCAGTTAATGGGTTAATATAAGCGTTAAAAATCTATGCTGACATCATCTCGAAAATCCAGGCCATACACAGCATAAGCTTTTAATGATTTTGAAAATTGTATGTGTAGATCTTGACTCCAAAGCTTTTTTTGAAGCAAAATTCCCTTTTTTTTTTTCTTTTTGTTAAAAAGATAAATAAAATGCCACCTATTTATTACTTCAGTAAACGTAACTTTTTATTTAAGCCAACATTTTACAATTACTACTGCATCTGGGCAAACAATAAAGATCTGGACTTATACAAAAGATCTTATTAAATCTTTGTACTCAAGTTAGCAGAACGAAATGTAAATTCCTATTAAAAAAAATTCCTTTTATTTACATTTCTGTTAACTTTGTAGCCTAACTTATTTTATAACATGAAGTGAATACAACCAATTAGTGATTTGAAGTACAGGGTGATTACGTTCTGCTGTTCAGTGCATCATATCTCACAAATAGTATAGCATAGAAAGGTGAAATTGCACGTGGGTTTTAAGGATGTCAAGGAGTTGCAAATGCTCCTGTTGTCACTACTATCTCCTAATGTTTGATCCATAACAGCAGCTGTTCAAAACATGGTTCTCTGTCCTCCAGAATGCATTGCATCTGTGTGACTATGGATATTACAACAGAAATAAACATCTCTTCTGATAAGCTGGCTTCTTCCTGGAAAGTTGCATCCTTGAGACCTGGAGTTGTGTAAGGCTTCCCATGTAATTTGATTTAGGTGAATAGATCGTTCAAAGTGAAACGGGTATAATAAGCATGTAAAATAAAGAAGTACTGGTACATAGAAGTTTGAAGATGTTTTTCCTTCATTATTCTGATTTGTAAAGAAGGGAAAAGTAAAAACATTTTCTTATGGAATGAAGAACAACTAGAATAATAAACAGAGGTGGAAAAGTGTTAATATTGCGATGAAGATAAATATGCCAAAAAAAAGATCTTGTTTTTATTTGCAATGTTATAACGTTTTCAGTCAAAACATGCTACATTAGATATAGAAGACACTCTCTGTTCGTAACACTATTTGTTGGTAATGCTAGAATCTGTTGTTATGATTAATTTGGTTCAGTTGTTTGTGGGAAATTTTTAGAACATTTTTGAATTATTAACTCATCCTGTTTAGGGAAAGATTGTACAATATTAGGAAAAACCGAAATAACATGATAGTTTTATTTAACATTTGGTTACAAAGACTGGATGTCACAGTGGTTATAGCACTCCACTGTCATGTGGAAGTCTCTCGTACAAATCCCAGGAAACCTCTCATTCAAATCCTAGTCAAGTCAGAATTTTATGTTAACAAGCTCTCTGAATATTTGTTAAAAATACTAATACAGTTAAAAATTAAATCAGGGATAGTATCATATCATTAAGCATGGTAGGGCTTATTGTGTAGGGATGGGCCAAGAACAAAATAGTTGTCACATTCAATCTATTATAAATAACTGCTAAAGTTGAGTTATGGCCTTATTTGAGCAACAGATTGCCATTATTGAGTGTTTCACAACTTGTATAACAGTAATATTATTCTGTTCTTCTGCTACACGCATTTTTGTGGGGAAATAATAAAAAGGAAAACTACTACTTAGCAGTGAGTTCAGTTTATAAGCATGTATTATGTCCATGTTTCATAAATAAGTTTCATTTCTTGTCGCTAGATGGCAGCACAAACCGTCTTGTTATAACGACCATTTGTGATTTTTCATTGCACAAACATAATATCTGCCAAAACAAGTTCAGTAAAAAGAAAGAAATAATCTAAATTAATATTCAAGGAGATCAATTAATTGTGCAACTGACAGATCTGTGTACATGTTATTCATGTCTTGAGTTTAAAAAAACACCAGTTTCTTAATTATCCAACAGTACATTATATAGCAGTCTACATTTCTTCAAGCTTTCAGTGGGGCCAAGCTGGGCAGCTGTGTATGTATGCATGGTATCATACTTCCTGACCTGGGATCTGTATGATATCCTCCCTATTAATCAGTATGACTGTAGCATGTAGTGGAGTCGATTGTGTGCACATACAGTAAGTTGTGGTGAAATTGGAAGGTGTGAGCTCTGTAAATATCCCCTTAACGGAAGGTGTGAGCTCTGTAAATATCCCCTTAACG